GCGGGATGAGGTTGGTCGGTAGGAGATGGAGGTGCGGCTTGAGGTGGGAGGAGGGGATAGGTGGGAGGAAGAACAGGTTAGGGAGGCAGGGACGAGCTGGACTGGTTTTGGGATGCGGTAGGGGGAGGGGAGATTTTGAAACTTGTGAAATCCACATTGATACCATTGGGCTGCAGGGTTCCCAAGCGGAATATGAGTTGCTGTTCCTGCAACCTTCGGGTGGCATCGTTGTGGCACTGCAGGAGGCCCAGGGTGGACATGTCGTCTGAGGAATGGGAGGGGGAGTTGAAATGGTTCGCAACTGGGAGGTGCAGTTGTTTAGTGTGAACCAAGCGGAGGTGCTCTGCAAAGCAGTCCCCAAGCCTCCGCTTGGTTTCCCCAATGTAGAGGATGCAGTATACCACCTTAGCAGATGTGCAGGTGAACATCTGCTTGATGTGGAAAGTCTTCTTGGGGCCTGGGAGAGGGTGAGGGGGGAGGTGTAGGGGCAGGTGTAGCACTTCCTGTGGTTGCAGGGAAAAGTGCCAGGTGTGGTGGGGCTGGAGGGGAGTGTGGAGCGGACAAGGGAGTCACGGAGAGAGTGGCCCCTCCGGAAAGCAGTTAAGGGTGGGGAGATCGGATTGCAGATGGCGGACGTGTCGGAGGACGATGCATTGGATCCGGAGGTTGGTGGGGTGGTACGTGAGGATGAGGGGGATTCTGTTTTGGTTGTTATTGCAGGGAGGGGGTGTGAGGGATGAGTTGCGGGAAATGCGGGAGACACGGTCGAGGGCGTTCTTTATCACTGAGGGAGGGTGGGAATTTGCGGTCCTCAAAAAACAAGGACATCTGAGATGTACGGGAGTGGAATGCATCATCCTGGGAGCAGATGCGGCGGAGGCGAAGGAATTGGGAAAAGGGATGGCATTTTTGCAGGAAGGAGGGTGGGAGGAGGTGTATTTAATTTTGAAGTATAGTCAGTAAGAAACTCAGCAGCCAATTTACACACAGCAAGTTCCCACAAACAGCAATATCATAACAACCACAAAATCTGCTTTTACGGCAGGGAGAAGGCAAGTCAAGCTTTTGATCAGCCACAAAAGGCTAATTGACTTCATCTGTATTGTAACCATTCCAAGATCCCACATTTTTTTTTAGTAATAACTGGCCAGGATGGCCAATCTGGATAGCCACTGTGCTCTGCCAAATCGTGCCATGATATTTCACAACCACCTGAGGGGTCAGATGGGGCCTTAGTTGAACCGCTCTTCCAAAGTATGGGTCCTCTGACAAGGCAGTACTCCTGCAGTATTACACCGGTGTTTCATGCAAGATTTTTGCACTCAAATCTCTGGAATGGCACTTGAATCACAATGTTCTTGCTCAGAAGTGAAAGGGTGCTACTAACTGCAGTCTGAGAATCATGGCTTACACCACCATACAAATATTTAACGAGATACACTTGTGGCAGAGAGGCGTGACAGACTTTTTTTTAAAAAAAACCTGCAGCTGAAAAATTCTTCTGCACATTGCAGTGGATCCGGTGTAGGACACACCAGGAATGGATGGCACATTCCTTCGCTAAAGGATATTAGTGAACTAGATAGGTTTTTATGACAATTGACAGTTGGTTACATGATTGCCATTTTTTGTTGAACTCGTGACTGGATACTAACACTACAGTAGAGTACAAGAGTAGGAAATCTTACTGCAACTATGCAAGGGAGATCGTGTCTGGAGTACTGTAAACAGTCTTAGTCTCCTTATTTATGGAGAGATAATTCCATTGAAGGCAGTTGAAAAAACATTCACTAGGATGATCCCTGGTATGGAGGGATTGTCATATGTGCAAAAGTTAAACCGGTTAGGACTCTACTCACTGGAGTTTAGAGGAATGAGAGATGATTGCATTGAAACATATAGGATTGTTAAGGGACTTGACAGGGTAAATGTTGAAGGATGCTTTCCCTCACGGCAGAGTGAGTCTAAGAGAAGAAGGGTCTAGGCCCGAAACGTCAGCCTTCCTGCTCCTCTGATGCTGCTTGGCCTGCTGTGTTCATCCAGCTCTATACCTTGTTATCTAAGAGAAGAGGGCATAGTTTCAGAATAAAGAGGTGCCAGTTTAAGATTGAGATGAGGAAGAATTTTTTTTTCTCTCTCTCTCCAAGGGTTGAGTCTTTGGAATTCCTTGCCAGAACGCTTTAGGAGCAGAGTCAAAGTAGAATCACAGCATCCCTACAGTACGAAAAGAGGCCATTCTCCCCAACAAGTCTGCACTGACCCACCAAACAACATCTCACCCAATCCCCATAACCTCACATTTACCATGGCTAACCCACATGCCTGCACATACCTGATCACCACAGAGCAATTAAGCACAGCCAATCCACCTAATATGAACTGTGGGAGGAAATCTGAGCACCTGACTGACCAAACACAGGGAGAACATACAAAATCCATAGACAGTACCCAAAGCTGGGATCAAACCTGGTCCCCAGTGTTACGAGACAGCAGTGATAACCACTGTACCTCACATTGTCCCTGTGTTTATTTTAGGCTGAGACAAATAGGTTCTTCATTAGTAGGAGAATCAAGGATTATGGGAAAAGGCAGAAAAGTGATGTGAGGAATGTCTGATCAGTCATGATTCTATTGAATGGCAGGGCAGGCCTGAGGAGCTGAACGGCCAGCTCCTGTTCCTATTTCTTATGGTTTTAACCCATGTCCCCAGACTGGGGTTCCGAACTGCTGGTCCAGTGATATCACCACTATTTCCCCAGGGCATAATTCCTTGAACAGATCAAGGAATACGTTGAGAAGGTTTATTGTGTATGTTAAAAGTGCTATCTCCACGCACGTTAGTTATCCATCCTCTTTCCCCATAAAACAAAATCACAATCAACAACTTGGAGCCTCTTGGGCAGACAGCATCCAGCTCCATAAATCCCGCCTGTACTTTAAAAGACATTTATTCCGGACGGCCCTGTGTCAATCCTATGAACTACCTGCCTGGATTATCCCCTTTTACTGATAAATTAATAAATGGAGTTTATGGGCCCTCTGCCTACGCAAATGACAAGGAAGATGGTCAGAAACCGCGGCGGGGGTGGGGGATGAAGTTTGGCCTTTCGAAGCTGGCGCCTGTCACTTCACAATTTTACAGCTGAATTCTAATTTTACTTCTCAGTTGCATTGCCATACGTTAAAAATATCCACATATTTAGTAAACTGTTGTCAGTTTACGATCATATAGATCCTAAAATGTTCGGTCACATGTATGTGAACAAATAAACGCTCTTTATCCGGCACTTGATGTGGTATTTTCTTCCTGCAGGAAAAGTAACCGAGTCCACCGGGGTCCCGGCCTTTCGCCG